CGCTTTTTCCACATACTTCCTCTGCCTGTAACAAATAGGGATTTCAAAGGCACCGGAAAAACCCGAAGACTGCTCCGGACGCGGGTTACCGAACACGCAGCTGCAGTGAGGAGTAATGACCCCATCACAAAGTCGCAGCTCATTCAACGGGAGCCAACCACACATTCAAGCTTGACGAGGCAGAAATTTTTGCCAGAGGCGACAGTCGTGTGGACAGCGAACTGCCCGGGTCATGATTTTCCGGCTCTCAACCAATCAATAAATGTAACGAACTCCACGCTCTATATTCGGCGGTGAGACCTTGCCTAGGCAAAATAGTTAGTTACGCGGAGTGCGGGCGGATAACCACTGTTCCTGATGTCAATGGCGCCCAAGAGTCCATACGGATGACAAGTTCCGGCAGTCAGCACCTCGACTGCGCGCGATGAGCATGGGAGCCAATCATCTTGACCGGCACACAGGCGCATGGCAAATGCCCACATAAACACCTGATCAGTCGGACCTGCCAATTGTAATAGGCATGTAGCGGCCTAACAACAACACCCTATTACTGCAACACCATCATTGGACTCTGTCTCTGATGATGAATTCAAACGAGAGTCCGAAACGTCCGGCCAGTAAAGCTCTTGTTCCAGCATCACGTCGCCTTCCCCGCGACTACTTCCTGGAGCTAGCCTCTTCGCTTCTATTAGCTGACTGATCCTCTCCGACATACGCGCTGTTGCCGGTCAGCTGTGAACGCTCTCATTCAGTTTAGACGTCTCTCGCCGACAACAGAGCTCATCAGTTTGTATAAAACATTGATGTGGACGCTGCAGAAGGCCCTAGGGGGTCGATATACACTGTCGAAAATGGCTCGCCAGCGGGCCGCGATAAGCCAATAGAAATCAAGTTGGCGACTTTCCTTTTTAAATCGCTATGCGCTCCTTCATTCCAATTCAGAGTACGTTTAAAAAGTCAGGATAAGTCAATTCCTCCATCATTTTCTACCAGACTCATTCTTGTGCAGAATTGCAGTTCCAAATCGTCCCTGCATGTCATTGATGAGATACTAGAAGCACACCATGTCTATAGGAACAGCCATGAGAAGCGTTCCGTTGATCCCAATCTTCTACAAAGTCAGTAGGATCGCAGATATCTTAGCATCGCGTTCGAGCATTTTATTAATGTCATTATATTACTGCCTGTATTTCACTAACGTTTGTTTTTTTATTATTGTCCAGGGTCCGTTGAATGTGAGTGTTGGCATCCAATTCGACTGCCCCAGAAACCGAGATAGCACCAGTTATCCATAGACAGACTACTGCACAGCACACTTAATAACGTTAATGTTTAAAACACTTGGAGCAACTAGTTTATCTGCCTGATTTCGAAAATTTTGCCAATCTGAAAAAACGTCTGTAGCTGTTTGGTGTTTCCATTTTCACATTTTTGATATAATTCATTTCCTTGTAACAAATAGGGAGTTCAAAGGTCCAACACCTATGTTCGCCTCAAATAAACTGAAACTGAAATGTAGCATAATACCCATATTTCGGTGTGGTAGATGGGCTGGGCCTAGAATCCCCACAAAATAAACTTCAGTATTGCGGATACTCGGCAATTAGATACCATAAAGGCAGCAGTCATATGGAGACATTGACTCCTCAGTTTAGGAAAGGGCCAAGTTAGTCTGCCAGTTAACACCTCGCAAGGCATCATTTTGGGGCGTCTCGACAGACCAGAGCGTGTTTAACTATCAACAGAGAGGAACTAGTGGAGGGCGGACCACAGTGAATAACCCTCACGCACCCGTCACCATGCAAATGTCTGTAAGGGTTCGCTAGGAAGCAACCTATTTAAAAAGCGCTTTAATACTGTACTCCGTTGACGGATGTCCACGCACTTTACTCATTTACACGGAAAAGTCGAGAAAGAGTTGACCCTTTTGGTGGTTTCTTAACTTCCCTAGATAGTACAGAAGATTTGTCCGTCACAAACTGGAGAACGTACCTTGCTCGTCGTATTTTAGCCATGCCGTTATTTTTGTTAACCTTTAGGCTCCGTTTTGCGATTATGAATATACAGTACAGTAGTCACATAAATACCGCCATATTGCTCAAACTGTTAGTATTTCGCCCGTTTCGTTTTTAAATAGCGTACAAGCAGAAAATAGGCCGCAGAAAAAGTGTCTTCGCATATGTTCAAAATGTGAAATGATCATCCGATAATGATCAGTCATAACGTATTCGCAAACGGCAAGACAATTTCGACCCATTTAAACGAAGGATTGCCTGTGTACGTTATTACTGCACTTTAGGGCACGAAATCACACAGGTTCGCAGATCAAACCTTTGAAAATCGATTTAGAGCTGGTTACCTAACACATTAAAGGTGTCGAAATTTACGAATGATTGCTAATCACTCGTAAACCGACACCAGTTTATGTACTCAATATCTATTTAAAATAAAGAACAACTTTGGAAAAGCGCGAAATTCCGAAGAAGTTGAAAATGGTTGCAATTTAGCAAGACTTAATTTTTAAATCTGCGAAATGTCTGTTCATGCGAAAAACTAAGTAAGTACGAAAACATAAAAAGAAATTAAAGTTTAAATATCCTTTAAGAATTAGTGTAATTTCAGGTATGGCGGCTTGCCAACAGCCTGCATTCCGAGCATAGAGTCAAAAACGGTTTCTCGAGAATTCGTCCCATATTTTATGCCTTTGAATTGATTTACATGCGGTTCAATAAGAAAGGCAAGCTTTTGCTTGATTTCGAGGGCAGGGACATCATGGGAGCAAACCTTTTCATAAGCTCATATGCCGCCAAGCTTATCGGTGCCTAATAAATTTAAATAGAATTCACGCAGTAAGGGGCAGGCTTCGGTACAGCCAACGCTCTAACCACCTGAGCTACGAGGCCCCGCCGGACGACTCGAGTTTTATCACATTTTGGTCTAGTTGGGTCAATATGAATAAGTCAAAATCTGCCAAAAATACCTATGAATTACGTTAGCCTGGTAGTCATCTGGTGGATTCTAGGTGAATTACTAAGGAAATCCTGCTTGGGCAGTCAACTTACTGTATCAGATTTGGTGGATTCCAGACCTTGCAGTAGGTTGGGCGGGCAACTTGACCCAAATGTGATAAAACTCGAGTCGTCCGGCGGGGCCTCGTAGCTCAGGTGGTTAAATAGAATTGACAGGTTTAATCGTAAACGTATCATTTTGTCTTTATGACGGGAACATTCCTTCCGTAAAATTAGTTTGTACTTTTCGTTTGTTCTGGATAACGTTGCTTCAGATCGGCCTTGAAATTTTACTGAATACCTCACGATGTTCAAATTTAGCCGATTACCCGTAGAGACAGATCCTGTATTGTGTTCACCAAAAACTTCAAAACAAGGTGCTTCTTGAAGGTGGCAGCGAGTTTTTGGGCGTTCTTTTTCGTGTAGAAGGTCGTCCGGGTCACATTTGAAGACTCACGTAAACAGAAAATCTCATCATCGAAGAAGATGAACGTCCACAGCGAAAGTTAGCAACGAATACGCTTTCGACCAGTTAGAGGACTTTCTCTAATAAGTTACCTCTTTGGGAAGTGCTCTGATACTGCATTCCGTTTGCAGATACAGTAGGTGGGCTCACTCATGAAAAGTCAACCGAAATTCCGAAATGCGTTTTCGTTCCAAAAAGATTAATTAAGTAGGGTTGTAAAACTAGTCAGCCTGCAACATAATTCTATGATATTTCATCTACCCCAGGATGCCGGCTTTTGAATGATTTTCCTTCCGGCTGCATGCAAAAGCCACATAGTAAAAAACGACTACTTATGTAGCGTGAATTTTTCTCATTGATTTTCGATGCCCCTAAACGTGCAATTATATTTCATGAAAAACATGCATGAAATATCCATACTTTTGCTCATTCGGTAGAAAATTATGTCTTCTTCTAATTTTATACTCAAGGGAGGGATATAATTCGGTTTTAAAATCGTTTCTATTTGTGGGACATTTAAATACCGTGATGTGGCCGTGCATAAATCACCACATATCTGCATTTACCAATGTGGCTTGTAAAGTAAACAATATGGCTCAAATTCACTGCGAAATTTTATGAGTTCCATATGATCCTTTCTTAATACCATTGAGAAATGTACGGTTCTCCATACGAAAAATATACACGGCTGCAGTTTAGAAGTCCTGAATACAAGTGTAACGGCAGGTCGGAATTAAAATTATTCGGAAATTGGAGAAGTTTTTGAAAACCGAATTATACCCTCCGAATGAGCAAAAGGATGAATATTCGTATGCATGTTTTCTACGAAATATAAGTGCATTTTTAAGAGCATAGAAAATCAATGAGAAAAATTCATCCCAGTTAAGTAGCCATTCTTTACAGAGTATGGTGTTCGCATGCGGCCTAAAGGAAGTTCATTTGAAAGCCGGCGTCCTGGGATAACTGAACTATTATAGAATTATGCTGCATGATGATTAATTTTAAGACCCTACTTAAGTAATCTTTTCGAAACGAAGACGCATTTCAGAATTTCGGTAAACATTTCATGAGTTAGCCTACCTACCGTAGATGGGGCAGTCCACCTTCGGATCCAGAAACTGTCGTCGCTCAATCAAGCCACCACACACACAAGCGGTGTCGCGCGAGCCATAAGAGAACTGGGTTTCAGGCCTACAGTTGCAAGCAGCTGCACAACAGAAGTGACAACCACCACGTCACACGTGTAGACAAGGTTCCCGCCGAATAACAACAGGCATCTCAGTGGTTCATGCTCTGCATTTGCGAAAGTCCGCACTGTCAGACCACCAATCAGAAGACACTTTAAACAGTACTTGCAGGAGTAATGAAGTAAGCGGCAAAACCGACTATGTGGGTTGGTTGAACAAAGGAAGGAGAATTAAAAAAAGAGAGAAAACGGTGTGGAGCGCAGGCAGACAGCATGCAAAGGAGAGAGGCGATGTGCGTGGGGGAGGGGGTGTGCGGAGTGGTTGAAGGAAGCGCGAGGATCAGGTCGAGGAGGAGACGGCAAGTTTCTTCAGATGATCCATAAAGCCCTGCAGTGAGACGTCGTCTGTCAAAACCGCACTGCCCGCATCCTAAAAGGAGGGGAGAAAAGCCCAAATTACCTCTCACAGGCGGCAGTTGTGCGCAGGCAGGCTAAATAGACAGCACTGCACTGGCCAATCAGGAGCCCATACAAACACACACATACCTGACCAAAGCCGAACATGTTGTGTGTGGTAGAGGGGTTGACCTTGGAGAGGAGGAAACGCGCCTGGCTGCCGTCATGCTCGGTATCAATGTAGCGTGAGAGCGGGAAACGAGTTCGCAGTAACTCCTGAGCCTCAGCGCGGGGTCGTTCGATTACGTCGCGTAGGTACGCATACTCCGGCATTTCCTGACAGATCGGAGAAACACACACACGCGCATGTAAAGGGTACAGCTTAAGGCCTTTGAGGTCTTTGAGAGGAAGCTGGATTTTTGTAGCAATGCCCACTAAATTACCACCCGACCTCTGTAACCTTGGCAAATTCCGCTATTATAATACTACTTGATATACTTCAGTAACATTTTAAATTAAATGTCTTATTGCCTCCAACCAATCACCTACGTCACTGGCATGCACCTATGCTACTTTTGTCACCGGGTATATTATTTACTTCCCTGCACTCGAAACGACCGCTGTACTACTGCCCGTAACACTAACATTCGAGACAGTCTGTTTGTCTGTACAGATCTGCCGCTTTTCCGATTATTTGTTAGCTTTATGATATCTTTTCGAGTTTTTGAGATTTTGCAGTTGCTTGTAAACAAATAAGGAGTTCAAAGGTGAAGACCTACATTTCCCGCAATAAAACTGAATCTGAAAGGCCTTTAGGGGGCTGCGAGACGTGTGTACCCGCAGGACGAGAGCACAAAGGGTGATCAGCAGTGAATATGACAAAATGATCATTTTTGACGCAAAATAACCCACTAACATAGGAACTGCAGCAATAGTAAGGCGATCGTACAAAAAAGTGCGTCCCGCGTCGACAGAGATTTGTAGTCGAGTTAAAGCAAGTAAACCTGAAGGTTGCAAGCAACGACATGGGGCGTATTGCACGCTATCAAAAGGACATTTGCAGCTCTCGAAAAATGTTTCTTTAGTCAAGTCTATAGCGCCTTCTTTCGATCTCACCTAGGATATGGCGCACAGGCCTGGCGACCATGGCTCACAAAGGGCAAAATATGTCTCAAGGAAGTTCAAGGTCGTGCAACAAGGCTAGTGAGGGGTCTAAAATACAATCCTCATATAGAAAAACTTAAATGTCTCAATCTACTCCCTTGGTATTACAAGTAACAAAGGGGTGATATTATCTTAATTTAAAAGACAATAAATGGCTTCGAGCGAGGGCCACGCCTTGAGGACATATGCCCTCAAACATATGTTTCAGTGGTACCTCTCGCCTCATCATCGTAGACAACCAATGAAGTTCCGCACGAAAATGTCCAAGCTGAACCTTCGCTCCGAAGTCTTAACACAAGAGGTATTAGAACAAGGGAATGACCGCCGTCAATCAGTCGCGGAGGCGACTTCCTTCCAGCTCTTTAAGAGACGGCCGGATTATTGTATGCGTCGCTTGCTTCCTCTCGACAATCTAAATCCGAACAACATAGCGCGTCGAATGCAGACAGTAGTTTTTTTCTAAAAAAACAATGCTACTTACGTTTTGTGAATACTATTTTAATAGTAGCAATTTGTGGACGCGTGTACGGATGCATATAATGCAAGCGGAATGTAATCAGCGGGGTTTTCAGAGCCATCGCCCATTATCCTCGCCAAATAAACTGAAAGACGAGATGAAGGAGATGGTAAGAAAACGTGATGTGCGCCTCTAACGTGGAGAGTTTAACAATTATAGAACCACTCTACTCATGCCTAGTTACAGTCATTTATGAGACCACATCAATGCAATAGGCCTGACGCGGATTAATCGGAAACGCACGCTCGCTAACGACAGACTTCTAATGTAACTGGAATTTTTCGTGAGTCTTATTTAGATTCCGAGGGAGTGGCGAAACAGGAATGAATGTTCGCTCAAACCTGAATACTTTTGACTTCACGATGACGAGCGTAAACGCCTAGACCATCGGAAGTTTTCATTCAGTCAACGTGTTATTCGACCGTGGAACTCACTGCCAAGTGAAACAGTGACATCTGATACAGCGGTTGTGTTCAAAAGGCAGCTGGATCGTTTGATCTTTGATAAACGACGACTCTCACTGCAGGACTCTCTGCGGCCAGCCATAAAATTTTTATTTCCTGATTTTACTCCTATGTAACACATATCTGCACGTTTAATGAAATCTTCCCCAGCAAACTATACAAGTGACTGCGCTTTGTGCTGATTGTAAAATTGCAATTAAAATTTCATACGTACACGTCCCCTTCGCAGTTCCGCACCACAAAAACGCTTTCCGTAAACAAATATGTTACTGGCAAAAGTGTAGTAAGATATGCATTTAACATTTATATTGCATGCACCGTTTTCAATAGGGTCATCCCTATACTATATAAGGAGCGCAGACTTACCAGATAACCGGCTTTTCGCCACTTGACAATGTTCTCTCCCTGGTAGATGAGGACGTGGAAGAAGCTGTCCATGAGGAGAACAGTGTCCGGCTGGATGCTGGAGCTGTCCAGAAGCACAGCTTCGTCCGTCCCATCCAGACGGAAGGCGATCAGAGAGGGCTGAATCATCAGGAGTGAGTTGGAACAGTCCTCAGTATTCAAAACGTGTCTGCATAGAACGCACAGGGAAACAAGAGGGTGGTGTGAGTGCGAGGTAGGCGCAAAGTGTTACGCGCAAACTAGGAAAACAGCACTAAATCTCTGCCGAAGCTAATGGTCGGGCGCAATGCTGCATACTGCATTAGTGAAGACTCCTCGCCTAACATCCTGAAACGGCGAAGGATATCCCTGTGTATGGGAGTGAAGTAGATAAGTTCATGCATCTCACGACAAGCTAAACACTCAGGTTAGCAAAAGTAAGAGATCCGGGTCGATAATCTGAGGAAAATGAAGTGCTCACCGGATCGAGGGACTTGTTAGACTGACGTTTCGAAGAGTTGGGGCGGCTCTCCATGGCCAAAGCGTCAAGTGAAAAAATCGATCAGAATTTTTGAATAGACAGCCGGATTAGTTGGCCTTGGGCTGATCGATTTTTTTCTTCTTTCGCTGCCTTGGCCAACCGGCCGTCGCCCGTGAGTTTTGGTGGCCTCCTGTATTGTGTGTCGTCACCTCAATTGGAGTTAGTTGCGTTTGCGTCCCCTTTTGGGTAAATTGGTCGACAGGCCGTGTTTGCTCGGTATTCTTAGGCTCCGTATGCCCGTCTTGTCTTCGTCACGGCGTACGTAGTGACGTAGGACTTTATAGGCCGAAGGAATGTCTAGATGCCTGTTGATGGAGTTGGCATCTGAGTACCAGGCCTCAAGTGTGAGACGTTCTGTCCTTGAGGAGCCTCTGCCTAAGACGGTTGCTCCTTGAAAATCAAAACTGTGACCAGTTTCCCCGATGTGAGCCGCGAGCTGTGAGGTTGGGTCTAGCCCCGAGTTTCCAGTTTGTGCTCATGTAGGCGGATCTCCAATTTCCGTCCGATTTCACCCACGTAGTTGCAGTCTCCATCGTTACAACGTATTTGATAGACAACCGCTGAGGTCTTAGTGGGTGGCAGTATGTCTTTGAGTTGCATCAAACGGCGACGAATTTTTGCCTGGGGTCGATGGACAATGCCTACCCTGGTGGGTTGTAACGGTCGTGACGGCCAGTAGGCCAAAGCAGCGAAAGAGGAAAAAATCGATCAGCCCAAGGCCAACTTATCCAGCTGTTTATTCAAAATCCTGATCGATTTTTGCACTATACGCTTTGATAATGGAGAGCCGCCCCTGCTCTTCGAAACATCAGCCAAACAAGTCCCTCGATCCGGTGAGCATTTCATTTTCGTCAAGCTGAACACTAACTGACAACTCCCTCTGTCAACAATGAAAACTCAACTCGTGCAGATGGCGTCAGTGGCTGAAACTAGTAAGGTATTCGGAAAGTGATTCAGTTTTAGCAGAAGGTTGTAAAAACAGTAGTTTTAAGCAAAAATGCGATTGCCGTCGTTTTAAATGACAGCAGACCGACGGGAAGACAACTGTTTAACGCAACGTTCAAGAAATATGCCTCGTTTTCAGAAAAGGAAGTCTGAAAGACTGTTTTCAACTTCCTCTGGTTCTGAATGTTTTACCTCCTATAAAGTGTTCTAGTGATCGGAACAGATGAGTATGGAGGTGGAGGAACCTCCCACCATAACGGTCTTATCTTTTTAGGCTTGTTTTCCAGCGTGTGGCCTTGCACGGCAGTTCAGGCGTAATTTTCTAGTACAAGATTCAATTGTTTGTGGTAAACATCTGTACTGATGGTCCTTCCACGTCCCAGAGGCTCCTTTCACATTCCGCCAAACGCAGAGCAAGGACTTCCGAGGGGTTCTGGCTTGGGAGTTACCACTGGCTTCGTATTGTATTTTTCGTTTTCTTTTGTAACGCACAACCCCTCTCTCATCACATGCAACAATGGGACGAAGAAATGACAGGTTAGAAGACTGCTGCAACGGATGGTAGGCTCTCAGGTGGAAGATCATCCCTAATCCCCCCCTCTTTGCATAGTTCTTTCGCAATTCGATTGACATGTTCGTGGATGGGTGAACAAGACGACAAATGTTTGCTCCTTTGACGTGGATCTAACTCAGTAGTTTCATTCAGAAAGTCGTCATTCAGAGTGGATCGCCATTCGGAGCGGGGCTTGGCATACAACAGATAACCGACTCATATTTCATAGCAGCAAAAAAGGCAATTACTTTCCGAACACCCCAATGGAAAAGGTACAATTTATGTTGGAAAGGACTACTTAAAGTCAATTATGCCCTTTAGAAAGAGGGCGCGGGCATATTATCGATCACATTCCCTCTGGAGAAGTTCTGTAATAGGGGGATTATTTGGGACCGCGAAGAAGTCATTTAAGCAGTATCGTATCTGCGCGTCTGCAACGTAATGCGTGATGGTTGTGCCCCCCAAGCGGACCACGTGGTAGATGCGCTGGACCAACACAGGAGCCATATTGGATTCTGGCAGGCGGTATCGGATTGCGCACCAACATTTCAGGATGCGGTAGCGGACCCGGTTGTCGGCAGTCGTCGCGCACACTGGAACCCCTGTCATCCTCCCCATTGTTGTTGTTGTTGATCGAAAACCTGGTTATTTGTTGTGTGGACCAGAGGGTGTGGAGTGGAACGCCAAGGTGCGGACTCGACCGTGCATCCACCTGCGCCCTCCCCCGCCTCCGGTCTTCTTGACTCTGTCTTGACACCGGTGCAGGTGGAGAAGGAGGAGGGAGTGCGGTAGATGCTGTGCAAGTCTACTATCACCATAAACTAATTCACGCACAAGTCACCGTCTCTGCTGTCGCTTCGCTGTGGGCCACGCGGTGGACATCGTCGGAATCGACGGTAGAACTATCGCGGGATGGTTAAAAATGGACGAATGATGTTGCTTAAGTGAAAAGTATTTACCATGTATGATGGGAGCGTTAAATTCAAGTGTAACTACATATTGGGTCTACAATAGAACAGGAATCGTTAAAATTCATTAAAACCGTCACATACAGTAGATATGCTATCACATAAAATGTTGACTGAAATTCCGAAATGTGTTTTCAATTCCTTAAGATTACTTTAGTGGGGTTGTAATACTAATTGTCGTACCGCATGATGTTAAAATATCCCGGTCACGTCAGGATGCTGGCTTTCGGATGAGTTTCTCCCAAATCGCTATATTCCGTAAAAAATGACTGCCTAAGTAGCATGTGTGTGTTTCCCAAAAAAGCATATTTGAATTTATAATGGCATGCAAAATCGATGGGATGGGTGCATACAACTTAAGTAGTCACGTTTCACAGGGCGCGCTTTTTGCAGGCAGCCGGAAGGCTCACTAAAAAGCCGACAATCTAATGCGACTGAGGTGTCTTGAGATTATGCTGCGAACCTAAGTTAATCGCTTGTAACCGTAAAAAAAACACTTCAGAACTTTGATTAAAAGCCAGGCTGCTTGTTGCACTCGTAGAAGGGCTATTTAGCTCCGTCAGTCACCGTGTCCACGCCAATATCTGTCACTGGAAGACGGCGAGGTGTGTGGGGAAACAGAGTGGATTGGATGCATCGAAAGGATTGTAGCACATATGGGGGGAGGCAGTAGCGAGGAGCTGGGGATCCTCTAATAATGTTAACTACGTATGGTACTTAATTCGTTTGAGTAGTATTCACGGATGTCATCTAATTTTTTGGGGGAGGAAGCCTTTTGGTGGGGCACAGGGTCAGTTTTCTCAGACACCATAACTACAACGAGCACTCAAAGTTTACCGGCCGCTACCGGTACACAACACAGGCAGTCTATCAGGTGAGACAGCGGTCAAACTCGTCGTTTGCGGCGACAGTGGTCACCTGCAAGGTCGCCCGTGCAGAGAACTTCCCCGTCGCTGGGAGAGGCTTTTAGAAAAGTCCACGAAAATGGCCACGCGCAGACGCCGGCCGAGACAATGACTGGACTGGGACATTGGAGTTTGCACTGTATGATCACGCACTCCAGAGTGACTTCAAAACGTCAGAAAAACCCATTTTCCGGATGCTCGAAGTACCTTACTTTTTCCCCTCTTTGATGTACTTTCTTAAAAAGAACGGCGAAAATTCCAGTTCCCTGTAATCCCTGTGGGGGAAAGTACGTCTCTTTCAGACTGAGCTTGAAAATATATAGTAGCTTTGGTTTACAAAATCCACGAATTCCTGTGCTTTTCGAAACATGACAGGCGTGTTTACGGGCTTCAAGGGTCTCTCTCTCCCTCTACTGATTACGTGATTACCACTGAAAGCGGCAACGTAATTCGATTCATGACCGTACGGGGAGGCACGCTAAGCGATATCAAATTGTCGACTGTGTTGGGGATAATTCGAACGCTTTGGCAGTGGGATCAGTATGCCACGACCAAATAAGCATCATACAATTGCCAAAAAATCGAATTGTTTTCGAATAAGTAGCCCCTTCCCTGCGTATTGCAGGCGGCCTTGGGCTAAATGCTCAACCGAAACGACTCCCATGAACACCTATGCGAGACGGTGCGCCAAAGACGAATACACTGGCGGCCGTTTCGGAGAGACAGTGACCTCAATGTGTTCTCGTTTCGAAAAGATTAATTAAATAGGGTTGTAAAACTAATTATCGTGCAGCATAATTCTATAATAATTAAGTTACCTCAGGATGCCGGCGTTCGAACGAACTTCTTGCCGGTTGCATGCAAAAATTGTGCTCTGTAAAAAATGACTACTTAAGTAGCAGGCGTTCTTCTCGCTGGTTTTCGATGTCTTTAAAAATTCAATAATGTTTCATGGAAAAAATGCATCAAAATGTTCATTCTTCCACTCATTCAGTAGGAAATTACGTCTTCTTTCAATTTTGTACTCGAAGGAAGGGTATAATTTGGTTTTAAAGAGTTTTCTAACTGTGAGATTTTTTAATATCGTGAAATGGCCGTTCATAAAACGTCATGTCTTAGCAGTTACTAGTCTTGCTTGCAAAGTTAACAATAAGGCTCAAATCCACTGCTAAATTTTATGAACCCCGTATGATCTCCTCTGAATGCCGTAGAGAAATTTACGGTTTTCCGTACGCGGAAAATATATGGCTTGTAGTTTGGAGACCCTGAATGCAATTGTAACGGCAGGTCGAGTTCAAAATTATTCCGGAATTGGAAAAGTTTTTTAAAACCGAAATAAACCCTTTCTCCGAGCATAAAATTGGAAGACGTAATTTCCTACCGAATGAGTAGAAGAATGAACATTTTTATGCATGTTTTCCATGAAGAATAATTGACTTATTAAAAGCATCGAAAATCAATGAGAAAAATGCATGCCACTTAAATAGTCATTTTTTGCAGAGTGTAGTTCCTGCATGCAGCCTAAAAGAAGTTTTTTGAATGCCGGTATCCTGAGGTAGCCGAATTGTGATAGAATTATGCTTCTGAATGATTGGATTTACAACCCTACTCAATTAATCTTTTCGAAACGAAAACGCACTTCGGAATTTCGGTTGACATTTCATGAATTAGGCTACCTACTGTACTTCCGGGTAGAGGGGTTCCATACTACCTGTACAGGTACTAGACAAGAAGCACTCCTCTTCGCCTCCTGTGGAACAAGTTACATTGGTCGGATGACTAGGCACCCAGCTCAGCAGACGCGAGAGGATTATGGTTACGGTTAGGGTCAGGAGAGTGGGGGGGGGACTTATTCAAATATAAGAAATTAATTTGTTTCCAAGTGTTGACGAGAAAATTAGTTGGGTTTGTAGATAACGGAAGCGCAAGTCAAAAATACAAACTAAGTAGTCACTCTTTTTGAAGTGCGCATAAAAACGCTGGGCACGGACGTGTAAGTGGAGCTTAAGTAGTAGAACAGGAGACTACTAACCTGTAGTAGGCAGTCTCATCTGGACTATTGTTGAAGACCTGTATGAACGGAGAACGTCGCAGGTGGAACATAAATTGAGGGTAAAATGCGAATTCATCTGGAAGACGGAAGGAGGCAGCATCATCCTTTTGGTATTCGCCAAATTTGTGACAGAGTTTGATCAGCTGACGGTCCAGCCATCTACCGAAGATCAAAAGCAGTGATTATCATTAGCGGTTAATAGACAATAGTGCTACGTGAGTTGCCAAAGGTCCATTATCATAGGAAGTGCGCAGCAGTGTACCGGGTGCCACATTCTCCTCACCATTGCGATTGAGTTCGGGGCCCTCAGTTACTTAAAACAAAGTCCCAGAAGGATTGTAGCAACAATGGGGGAGACAGTAAGCGGGGAGCAGGCGATCATCTACTAATGTTAACTATATATGGTACTTAATTTGTTTTAGTAGCATTCATGATTGTCATCTTATTTTGTATATGGGGGAGGGAAGCCTTCTGGTGGGGCATGGGCCAATTTTCTCAGACGAATACTGCGTGACTTCAGCTGACACTTCAAGTTCACTGGTCTCTATCGGTACATAACGCACTCAGCTACCCACAAAACACCTAATGAAATCCAGGAACATGTCTGAAATTAAAAATTCACTCGAATTCACTAGAAGACAGCGAAATATAGAACAAAATGCAGCAAAAATTCATACATCGTGTTGAGCGGGGTTTCCACTGAGGGGTGGGAGAGTTAGCAGAAAACCATCAGGTCACAGGGCGTAAAATTAGTTCGATATAGTGTTCCTAACTTTTGAAGCACTGACATGTTTGCGAGTTTGGGCGAAAATGCCTCATCGAGATGGATACGAACCTGAGCACGTCGCGTCCGTCAGCCGTCTCGGCTTTGAACATAGCCATACGAGCCATTAGAACAGCGGCCGCTTCCTGGTCAAAACCGGCCACAAGGTGTGCCTGTTGGGACGCAGCGTCGATCCAATTGCGACAGGCCGTGGTCGCACGCACGCGGCGCTGTCCGCTGGCGTGCTGGTACTGGGTGACGATTTGCACGTAGCCGCGACCACCCGGTGGCAGCGGAGCCTGATGCTGGTTAGTGACGTCGAAGAAGATACCGAAGGTGGAGGCCGGCGTGAGGCCATTCAGACGCCAAACTGACGTGTGGCCGATACCCACCTCGTTGTCACTTGTGCAGCCCGTTTTCACATTGGCTGAGAAGCAGGAGCCGATGCAGCCTGACACCTTCAGATCTCGCGACGTCTACATTTTTAATCGAAGATAACATGGTTACTCATATGCAAAAGTAGATCGTATTGTCACCAATTAAATTTGGCCGCCAAGCAAACCGCGAGTTTACCTTGACCTCCATCTGGGCGGCGAAGCCCATCTTAAAGTTGCCCTCTGCATCCTTCAGAAGGTAGCGCTGGAAGTTTTGTTGAAAGAGAGTAGATGCGAAGCTGTCGCACATGACAATGTGTCCGCCTGTGTAGTTGGCGAGGTATCGCATCTCGTGCAGGCCAGTTTGGTCCAAATGGCAGCTGAAGAGATCAACAACGTGCGAATTCTGCGCAGCGCGATTGGCCAGACTTTCGTAGTGCTGACAATGGGCGAGAGGGTTATTCGATGAATGGGAAACTTGAAAAATACTTGAAAAAGCACAGAACAGAGTAAAAAGGCTGCTAGGTATCGGCCTAACGTCCGTCGCTTATGGTGTCTCCTATGACAGTGGTCGCTCACCGATCCGTTGTGCCCTGGGACTCATACTAGAGCCCTGCAGGCAGTCGCACGGCGAGGAATAACTTAAGCAAAAGATTATTGACAGAGACGAGAGAGACTGGGAGGCCCATTTCTGGCTAATTAACCGGCTTCAGCCAGCCTCGATTTCGCGTCTTCTGGTCATCGAGCATCACTATGCCCAAAGCTCTACCAGCTGAGCCGCGAACTCCTTGGTTATAACAGTTGTAAAAACCTAGGTCGACGAAAAGTACTGCCTACTACCACCAGTCAGATCTCTTCGCCGTTTATCAAAACCCGACTTCCAAACTTGTCTGCTGTACTCTGCCTCCTCCAGAAAGTGCGGACGAGGCCGTGCCTCAAACGGTTGTGAGGCCAGGAAAACCGCACACAGCGGCGGAGGAAACCCGACTTTGGGGGGCGGGGGGGTGGTGCGCACTCACCTTGATGGCCTTCCGCATGTAGGGGCAGTTGTCCTTCTCAATGTCATGGTGTGACCGGATGATATTCTTCAAATTATCGTCCACCACCGCGCCAGGGCCCTGGCTGCAGGGTCCACCCAGGAAGGTGAGAATGCGTGCTCCCACGTTGGGGAAGGTGGACTCAAGGAGGCCAATGGCGATGCTCAGGGCTGCACCACAGGAGCGCAGGGCTCGTTTGCCCTGCGGCACCGGCCAGGGATCGGGGGCCAGTTCGGCCAGCAGGGCGTTCAGGGAGGCGGAACAGAACTCCACCCGCTGAAGGAACCTAAACAAGATGGGAGGGGGGATAAGGTTAGGGGAAGGTTGACTCAAGGAGAGAGGGGGTGTGGGGCTTTAATGTAAGGCTGAAATCTCACTTATTCTGGGGCAAGTCTCCGTCAGCCGTCGGCCCCGGCATTGAGGACACCGAGGAACGTCCGTGAGCGGCACTACGACCGATTCCCAACATGCTCTGGTGGAGAGAGAAGAGTAGATAGGGCGGGGGGGAGGGTATGAGTAGGGAGGTCACAATTAGGTCAGACCGATTAAAAGACGAGGTATACGTGTGTACACATAAACATTGTGCTCATCGTCCTTCGAGGAAGAAGAAGAAGAAGAAGAAGAGGAAGAAGAAGAAAAAGAAGAAGAAGAAGGAGATGAAGGAGGAGGAGGAGGAGGAGGAGGAGGAGGAGGAGGAGGAGAAGGAGAAGGAGAAGGAGAAGAAGAAGAAGAAGAAGAAGAAGAAGAAGAAGAAGAAGAAGAAGAAGAAGAAGAAGAAGAAGAAGAAGAAGAAGAAGAAGAAGGAGAAAGAGAAGGAGAAGAGGGAGAAGGAGGAGAAGGAGGAGAAGAAGAAGAGGAACAAGAAGGAGAAGGAGGAGAAGGAGAATAAGAAGAAAAAAAGGAGAAGAAGGGACGAGTTCATGGACTGAAGCATATTTGGACTGACGCTTCGGAAACCCTCTCGTTGTATCATCAGTGTTGTGTGCTGATTGGACCTCGAATATTCACACATATTACATGCATACATACATATATATGCACGAAAATTTAGAGGACTGGAAATAGACAGCGGACTCGGTGTCACAGTTAGGCCTCCATTACACGTCGGGGGACTTATGCGTCTCAGTCGTCTGGTATGCAAGACGAAAACTGCTCACCACTAGCCAACCGACAAGCAGTGATCACTACCTGCTCGTTGACTCATGCTACCAGATGCATACAACAGGATGAATGGTTAGTAACCTCGTGAAGAAGAAGGATGACGGATTCAAGTGAGAATCCAAAACGTCAGGTGAATAAAGCACTTGTTCCAGCGATCGCTTCTTCTTCTTCTGATCAATGCAAGTCAGTGTTTGAATGTCAAAGACGTAATTATGCGGAAGCGTCTACCCGCCCAACAGTCCTCAGCCCGGAAGATGTGGATGCGCTGTTCAGAGCCTCCACTAAAATCAGATTCAAAGTAGGGGACAACTCGGATAATAAATTTGCCTGTCAGGAATGCAGCGGTGTCTACATCGGGCGAAATTTGTTAAAACTAGGGACGTACGGCGACTAGCGCGGACAGTTGGCCAAAAAGATACCAAATATGGCGGACAGCCATGTCGAGCTCGTCTACGCAGAGAGGAACTGCATAGTGCATACGCGAATTTCTTGAATTAATATGCTGAGAGGTGAGGCAGAGGCTGTCTCTAGGGAATATGCAATCGAAATGATCCGGAAATCATGTGCGTGAACATAGTTTTTGACTGGCCTCGGTCAGGCTTCTTCAGGTCAGTAAAATCCGGCGTAGGTTTGATAAAATTGATACTGCTGAAAGACAAGGGAAGGGTTGTCTAGTTGGGTTGTGAGGTTTCTAGATCATAATTTTCTTGAGTAACAATGAATAAGGGAGCGCGGTGAACAGGTAGCAAACAAAGTCGATGGTTCGTTCCAGGCCGAAAAAAGAATAATGAGAGAATCAGAAGATGTCGTAGGTTCCACCCCCCGAGTTGTGCTATATACGTGATTTAAGTGATTGGTCGGATTTTATGCCATGTCTTCCGAAACATGTTGATGCGCGTACTCACACCGCGCAACGTCTGTCCGTTGTAGGCAGCGCTACATTCGACACACCTAAACCGCAGCCTGTTAAAGTATGGGGAGGGAAGGGGAGGGAGAGAGAAGGCAGACAAACCCACCTGGATTTGGGCTCCTGTATAGTCCTTCGTGCCCTTGAAGACCCACGACTTGGCGATGGGGCCACTGTTGAGCCTGTGAATGTGCACCATTCGTCCAAAGGTTATCAGCCCGACTAGAGTTGAAGGCGGCAGTGCTGCAATTGACTGCTGGATTGAACTCTGTAAGGAGAAAGCAAATTGGGGGCGGCAGAGGCGGCGGTTGGGGGGCACCAAGGACTTTACAGTTCAATAGATGTGATTTAATGACGTGTGGAGCTAGGAGAGAATGAGCTCTGGGTTTCATCCAAAACGCCAAAACGATGACTTGAACTGTAATTTTACCGATCATCCCTGGTCAGGACCGGCATCGATTCGTGTGGCGGACAACGGATCTGATGAGACCGATGCACTCTACTCCAGCAGCGGGCACCGAATAGTAGAGATAGTGGCGGGTCGGATTTGGAGGCGACCGTCTTCTCCGTCAGCTCAAGGAAGGCGGTGTAGTTCGACTTGTAGTGTCACTGAATTCATGCGGTGGACATGAAGAGCATGACCATATCAGGGCTGTCTTGCTTAGACTCTAGGGGATATATTTACGATGTCATCGTATCGAGTGCTGACCTACCTCGGTTGAGACGAATCACGAAGGGCCGTGGCAATTCGCCGAGGACTTACTGCGTCTGACTGCGTACCCCTCACTGGTGGCTGACGACCGAGATAAAGTGCTGTTGAACCCCCTCAAGAGTGGGCCTGGTTCCCACCAGGCATTGTTCTACTTGCGGATCCAGCTACCTAGCGATCTGGACGGCGCCATCCAAAGGCGCCTACTGCATGCTACAGGAAAACGTCCGTGGGTCGGATGACTGAACCCGCATCGAAACTTGGACGCAGACGCCTGTTTGCCGAAAACAGAGAGCCGTTCTTGCCACTGTCTCTGAAGATGGGTTCAAGTGCGAATCTGAAACGTCAGGCGAATAAAGCCCTTGTTCCAGCGATCGCTTCTTCTTCTTCGTCGTCTTCTTCTTATCAACTAGTTCCTGGAACTCGCATCTTCGCTTGTATTGGCAGAGAGCCGATCGTTGGTGGGCCGGACACTCACGGGCGACACAGGCAACCGAGGGACTACCACTCTTGGGGAGGACCCTTCGTAGTGACACACGATACCCATCCTACCACCTAGATTATTCGAGATGCCCAAATGCCCGAAGGTCCCACCTTCATGATACACTTCGACAGGTTCAAACCCTATAATAGGGCAGGCTCCACAACCTGCGTACTTCACGATGAGGGCTGCTCTCACTGGTGGCAGCGATGGTTTAGAGTGCTGAAACCAAAGTATGGGAACGACCGACTGGTGTTGTAAACATAGTTGCTGTCTTGGAATTCGTTGCAGAGTGCGTAGCGGGCTGACACGTCCTCTGCCGATGCGGAAACCCCTCAGAATCGTCTTGCCATGTGCCCCTGGAGGGGAGGGGGATATTTGTGAAGATAGTCGTGTCGACGTTCGTCCCGTCTGCCCTCTTGAAGTGCTGCAAACTCTTAGGACAGACCCTGTGTGGCTGGAGTGCTTTCTCCAGTCGCTCAGAAATAACATCAGAGTGGATTTCGACCAACAGTCCATCCTCACCTACCGGCCTACATCGTTTGAAGGCATTTGATTAATGCTTAGTCGTTGTCGGACAACGCGACTGGACCGTCCACCTTCCACATGTATAAAACAACATTCACGACCGCGTAGGGGTAGCCGGAAAGATCCCCCGGTACACGTACATCTTCTTGCTGCTCGAGACATGATAATTCCCGACTGATTGGACAAAACATCCTGTGAACAGCATGGATTCTGACGACAGTATTGGTCGCAGACGGACTCCTAGACACTGAAAAATGTCCAGGCGTTCAACCTAACAGACGTAATTCGCACCACAGATGCCACCCTGGTGATATCTTCCCTGTAGTCCAGGTCCTAGTGTATGTTCGACATCGTCAGAACTGCGTACAGCACTTTCGTGAGGCCAACCGGCGATGCGGTTAGTTCTTATGGACAACCGACGACAACAACTTTGAGCGCCTGATCGAATATCGAGCAGCTGCGAGAGGTCACTGGGACGACGAAACGAGCACTAATAAACCGGCAAAATAGGAACGATTAAGTATAGAAACCCGTGGGGGGAAGGAGGGGGGGGGAGAGGGAATAACGAACCTTCAGATTGGTGAATTCTACCTCCTCGAGGCAGGTGTCCATGACGTAGAGGAAGATCATGGGCGTCGTAGGTGCCTTCTGAAAGGACGCATGAAAGAGTAGAAGAAGGCATAATCCCCATACGTCAGGCTAGTGAACATAGAAACGATGCCTGAGGTATGTCCTGACAGGATGTAGAATACAAAAGAGATGCTAAAGTCCATTTTTGCCCCGGACAAACGATTGTGATTTCACTAAGAAGAAAGAGGGGTGAGGGCAGGGACAAAGACAGCGCGGGATCTTTTATCTTGTCTGGGCGTTTAATAATTTCGAGGGCAATTGCCAGGCATTATTTGCTAAGTGGAGTTGTAACGAGAATTCGGTCTCCACAAGGTGTTGAGAGCGCGATGGCGACCTTCACTGCATCTATATCACTCACTATTCGCAGGCCCAGGACAACGTCAGGAGGATCGGTGACTGACAAAACTAAACACTCCTGCATACGCGAACCACACACACGCGCTGGTCCTCCACTTCCCGCGAAAAAAAGCTTTAAAAGGGATATTGGTTCCGTCACATGTGAGTGGCAGCATGAGGAGGAAATAATACAATCTGATCATCCTCAGTCCTGAAGTAGACCTGTCAGGTGAAAAAAACCCCTTCGACTGTCAGCCTACTGCGAGAAGCTAAAGTTGCTTTTTGTTGTCTATAGCCAGGCTAACAGGCGCCTCATCCGAAGTCGATCTACCTAATTGTCTTTCGCCTCGCCTATGGCCGGTTCGAGTAATGTAAATTGAGATCAGACTGCGTGCAATACCTCGCACGGTCAGTGACAGTCGACACGCACCACACATACACACGCGATATTTCGAACGTCGCTTCCGATTATGTCCACGGTGTGCCTGACATAGGGGTGAGAGCAGGCACGGTGACTTGTGCGTAAATTAGTTTATAGTAAATGCCGACTTTCAGAGCATCTACCTCACTCTCTCCTTCTCCCCCACCTGGATTTGGTATCAAGACAGAGCCAAGAGGACTGGAGATGAGGGAGGCCGCATCCTGGCGCTCCACTCCACATCGCCTGGTCCACACAGCAAAATACCAGGATTTTAACCAACAACAAAAGGGTGGTTGACAGGGCCGAAGCCGCACCTAGGCGTGCCGTCACACTTGGCTCGGATCGCACGGAGTGGGGGGAGTGCCATAAAGGCCACAGTAAGAAGGAGCCATTGCAGCCTGTCTCTCATACCACCAGTTAACCGCTCCACACGATGACGACAGTTCAACCATCGACTTCGATGATGTCCACCGTATGCCCCACAGACTGCATTGTGGGAGCAGGGACGGTGACTTACGCAGGGGTTTATACTGCCAGTAGACTTGCGTAGCATCTACCTACACTCTCCCCTCCTCCCCCGCCTGAGCCCGGTGTCAAGACCAAGTCAAGAAGACCGGATACGGGAGAGGCCGCAGGTGGATGGCTCCGACGGATCCTCGCCTTGGCGCTCCACTCCGCACCCCCTGGTCCACATACAAATGACCAGGATTTGGACCACATAACAATGGGGCGGTGGCAGTGGTCCAGTTGTGCGACGAATGCCGACAACAGGGTCCGCCAGCGCACCCCCCAGATGTTGGCATTTGTTATTGCGCACAGATAACGCCTGCCAGAGTCCGATGTGGCCCCCGTGTTGGTCCAGCGCATCTAACACGTGGCCCGTTTGGAGGGCACAACCGCTCCACACACAAACACACAACACTGGGCCGACTGCGAGGTCCAAATTATCCCGTCAGTTGGCAACCTTCCGAGCCACGGCTTTTAGCACACCGTGATAGCTTCAAGCGTGCGCTGAGCCATCAACCTTACTCTCCCTTCCCAGTCCCAGGCCCCAGTAACTGTCCGAGCCGGTCGGTTTACAGGTGCGGGGATTGGGCTTGTCGACCCCCCCCCCCCTCGTGTAATATATTTCCCGTATTTCAAAAAACATTCTTAATAAGACCTTTTCGACCCCCCCCCCTTCGTGTAATGGATGGCGTACCGTGAGTCCCCACCTAACGCGTGCCGCATACCTAGTAGGGTAGTATTTAAGGACGAACGCGCAGTGGCAGGTTCCTGACGGACGATGAAAACTAAAAGCTAGGCTGAAAACATACTACAGTCGTGGTCACATAGCGGTGGATGGGGGGGGAGTAGGGGGAGGAAAAAGGCCCTAACTAACCGTTATGGTGTATTCTAGAGTTGTAAACTGTGGCATCAGTTCAGCCGGCAAATTCTGCTCTGTCATTCCAGCGTACTGTGGTGGAAAGGTGTTTCGGCAGGCGCATATACAGCATACCCACGCTCTGGCTCGTAGATCAACCTGAAGAGGAAAACAGGAGAGATTAGTTGGTGTAATTTGAGGTACCGACATCATGATTTCATGGTGTGAGACTACCTAAAATATCATGTACGTATTGAAAATAACTTAGGTTTTGCAGTTTGTGATCAGAGGGAAAAAAATATTCAAGAAAGTAAATGTCGCCTCATAAAAGAATCTAAGAAAGGATCGAATACACATGTGGCTGAAGCTCTCGAGCTTGACAACAGCCTCAATGCTGGACCGGGTACGGGTACCTCTTGCTGCCCACGGACAGTCGTATCGAACACTACAGGGCCTGTGGCGGATTATGGCCCTAGATGGTGTACCGGCAAAAATCCTCGCCATGATCAAGGCCTATTACCGCTACACCACTGCATGAGTTCTGGTCCACAACAATCTTTCCCAAACGTGCGATATTCAGTCAGGCGTTCGACAGGATTGCATCCTGTCGCCCATATTGTTCACCTACGCTATTGACTGTATTCTCGGGAGGGCCCTACACGAAGATGACGGTGTTGAGTTTGCACCCGGACATCGACTGACTGATCTCGACTATGCCGATGATATCGCCTTACTTGCTTCACATTTTGGTGATCTGCAGTCTATGGTGTCACGGGTGAACGAGGTCGCTAAATTGGTCGGTTTGTAGATAAACGCTGGAAAGACCCTAGTGTTCTGAAGCTGCATCCTTGACCAAAAGAAGGCACCCCTCGGGATTGATGGCTGTCAACTTGAAGAAGTAGACAGTTTTAAATACCTCGGGGCGAGGCTGCTGCCTAATGGACAGAGTAAGGACGACATTGTCTCCCGAATCGATGCTGCCCGCTGGGTTTTTTCAAGCCTTCAGAAATGCCTGTGGAACCGACGTGACCTCTCCATCGCCACTAAGATTCGCGTGTACCGTGCATCTGTCCGGTCTGTCCTTCTTTACGGTTGTGAATGCTGGACTTTGCGCGTGGAGGATGAGCGAAAACTGGAGGTATTTGACCACTACTGCTTGAGGACCATCCTTCGAGTGAGGTTAACCGATTTCATCTCAAATGAGACAGTCCGCGCTCGCTGCGACAACATCGCAAGGATAACTCAGGCCATCCAAGAAAGACGACTGAGGTGGTTCGGGCATGTTCTTCGTCGTCCACCTCAGGAGCTCAGTGTTACTGTCCCCGATCCGGCACCGTTGCTCCAATGGAGGCGTCGAAGAAGGGGTCAGTTCAAAACCTGGCTCGACACTGTCCGTCAAGACATGGAGGTGGTTCTTGGACCTTCAGTATTCCGTCTTCGTCGTTGGCGAAGGGAATGGGTTGAGCTGTGCAGATCTGCTGCCGCGGATCGTCACGCGTGGAGAGGTACAGTTTCGGACATCACCGAGGCCGGCTAGATCAGGCATGATCGCAGCTGTATCAAGTACAAGAAGGTAAGTACAGGGCGCAATGGCGGCACTGAAACGTAACAACCGTGAGCCTCAGGTACTAAATGTCCGAAACTGCTACTATGATCAATGCTGTGGTGTCCACAAGAATAAACGCACTTCGCTACTCCAATTCACTGCTCTGGGTGAGCAGTGTGAGAATTTACTAATCAGTCGGAAACAATGCCTTGGTATTGGGTGCTAAAACATGCGAACGTTTCCGGATCTAGTACCCGAAGCCGGACAGGTTGCGGTTAGTAGCCAATCGTTGCTCTCTATAACGGGCCGCGCGGGGGCATATAAGGGCAGGGCACACGTTAATCGGGGTTATGGTGGCACGCCTAGGCGCGGGCCCATGCCGCGTCGACCACCTATGCCCAATTCTCCACATCAGGTCGCTGACCGACTCGGACAGCGGACTGGTGCCTGGGAGTGGGGTGCGGGAGACCGAGTCTTGGGACCGCATCCCCACGGCACTTAAGCATATTCCTCCCTACAAACAATCTGAGGTGCTTTTGTTCACTACTGATGCGGCCGGGCACATGCATCGGCACTTCAATCAGTACGAAACATATTTTACCCAGGCACTTAAACCATAGCAATACATGCCTTGGCATAGGTCTAACGCAAGGCAACAAATCATGTCAAGACGTACCTGACAAAAGGGATTCAGAATAGCACGACACCGGGAGCAGACAACGGGATCATACAGGACTGGTGGAAAGTCAGCGCGCTCCTTCATGGGCGTGTAGAGGCAGGAGACCGGAACAATGAGCTGAGCAGCGTCGAGACGGGATGCCGGCCAAACGTTCCACGAAAAGCGGATGCCGTCGTTTGCCTCCGTTTGCTGTATATACTCACTCATGGTCGCCATGGTGGCCTACCTACATGGTAAAAAATGAGTGGACAATAATGCTCCATCTGGTACTTACTCACTTGGGTCTCAGAAAGAGGGAGGTCAGTGGCCAGCAAAGACATGCGAGAAGAAAATTTTGGCGAGTCGTTCTCACTAAGGTAACCACCTCTCAATAAGACAAAGTTGTAATTCCAGTTTTTATAGAACGTCGTATCTCTAGAAGTGAAAAATCTACCAACCGCCTCTATAAAGTCTTCTTTTATGAGGATGGTTGGTTGGAAGTGTCGGTGAAATATGGAAGGCAAGGGGGAATCGCCCACGCATAGTTTCTTCCCCAGTGAGTGTTGAGAAGAGGGACAGTACTTCCTTCCAACTGGTTATTTCTGGCTTTTTCTGAAGCGACGCATCATTTGCGTGCTTCAGAAGCATAGAGTAGTGGCTTTTCTCGAAAAACTTTTAGCAGACAATAGCAGCGGCACTTAACCGCGCACAAATCATTATCTTCTGTGAGTAGGGTGGGTCCCAAAGCGTGTAGAACTGATCGCTTGATGATAATCGATCAGAAGTTCACTTCGTGCTGCAGTAAAGGATTCGCGTTTCGTTGCAGATAGCCAATCAGAAGATTCTGTTTGCATGAAGTGTAAAAGGGTAAGGACGGATTCGGAGCCTTCGAAACCAATTTTCATATTTTAATGCATGTGAGACCCATTTGCTCAGTTCGCACAATATTCCAAACTGATGTTCACATCACGGGAACTGTCTCGTCAATCATTTTAGACATTTTGGAGGGTCTTCGACGCGTTATATTTGAATATTTAACACAGAATCTCATAATTATTCGTCATATATACCGGAGCATCCTTCTGGACGTGAGGTATCTTCAAAGCATTCATCACCAGAGAAACAACTTTAAACCACTTCTGTGCAGTGTGTCATTTTCGCATATAACCAATTTCGATATGTGCTTATGATATGCTTCTTAAGTCATTGATCCAAGCTTCACCTCATCGAGTAGGCATATTCGAACTGGAGTCGGCTTGAAGGATATTTTTGAAAGAGAAGGAACCCATAAGTAAAGAGATAGTGTCAAGACAAAATTTTTAGACTAACTGACGCTTATTCGTGCTAGGTTACACATTTAAACACTTGGACCGAAAAACCCAGACGATATTTGGCGACTCACTGCATCGAACCTTAATGAACGTCGCACGGAATTTATGGCCCCTCGATATTTAAGCTAGGAGAATGAATGCTAATATAACATTCATAAGAAAACTGTTGACTAATTGTACCATAAATCAAGGGTGGTTAGTAAAAAATTCAAAATAAAGCAGTTTAAGGAGAGGTCACATGGTAGCACGGTGCCCTCCCACTTTTCAGATAAAGAGAGATTAAGGACGACAAAACAGTAGTATAAAAAGTGACATGAGTAGAAGTGGATAGGGGCAACGAGCGACTGGCTGACTTCGTCGAACGTAGAGAAGTTTCACTGTTTTATTACCCAGAAGTGAGCTCACTGAGCTCGAAGTCACAAAAGTCCTTCCGATGGTTCTCATCGCCAACTGTTAATTCCAGATGACGGTTGGACCTGGCCTATATGGCGCTTGACAAACGTTAGAATCGTGATATTAACATTCCTTAACGTTACGGAAAACTGGTGGTGACGGGATGTCCAATAATTAACATCAATGCTTCTAAACTCATTAGAAAAAGGAAATCGTCAATGAATGAATGCCCTACTAGTAACCGATCTGTGGGATTTAGCCCAACTACATCCACATGTATTGCTCCATCGAGATATGGAATGGTTCTAGGAGACTGGAGTATGTTGGTTGGAATGCAAAAGCCTAGACGGTTATGTCGCGTTTTAAAAGCATGCAGTGTTCTGTATCTACAGATATCTTAGTTCAGTTGGTTCCACAAAAGGAAATAAAAGACAAAGAATGAAGATCGGAGAGAAACTAAATTGGAATAGAAGCATTTTTATGAAATTGACTAGTGATCTCTTATAAGGGGCAACCTTGTCTTTTTTGTCTTCAAACGGAACAAGCAGCTGCTGAATAGCTAGGCATGCACAGCAGAAAAGGTAAACCGACCGCAGCCTGGAGGTCGAAAAAACTAAATACGTAATTGGCTCACAGCCGACTGAAGGATGTTGCAATTCAAACTGCATAACGATTGCTAAAGACCAAGAAAACGCGAAGTAAAGGAATATGGTTTATTTTCCCATAGTTAAAGCACTGACAATAAATACGAACTGCTCAGTCAGTCAGGAATAAGAATGCAAAAGTTATCCAGGGATCAATGACTCTTGAAGTTATTTGTGCTTTTCTTGTGGAATCTGCAGAAGTATAGCACACAGGCCAAGCAGTGGAGGCTGGGTAAAAATCAAGTGCGGTGTGTAGGAGGCATCAGATAAATACGATTAGACCACAGGATAAACTCCCAAAACGAAAAACAAAAACGGAGATATGCAAAAAAGAACAAAAACCAATCCAGTGGAAAAAAAACAATTGAAAACGACAAGGGTTAAAGTGGAAAGACTGGTGTAGAAGTGGCCGAAAAGCGTACCTAGCATGGAATTTTTATAAAGGCAAATTGTTGTTTCCTAGCAAAAGGTGATATCAAACCACCGAGTTAGCATGTGTCGATGAGCGAAAGAGACGATTGCATTTTGAGACAAATATCTTCACACTGTGGACCTTATAGACGTCCAAAGTAGGCCTCTGCATTTTTGAATAAGCTCCGGGGCATGATAACACACTGAGAAAGACTTATTTGTCGAAACGGAGGTCTGAACAGCTTTTGACTGTGCCCTCAAATGCTGCAAATATGACAACGCTAAAAGATAATACGCCCAAATTTTTTGCCCTAATAACAACCTTAAAAACTTTTACGAGATCTGACGTTGGCGCCTACGCTGCAAAGCGGACGGCCGGTGGACGTCCAGCTTTTACTTTAACTGCAGTTTCTGAATGCACCGAACAAACTTTGGTACTTAGCATATATGTAACCCCTGCCAGCAGCATTTAGAGCATGACTGGAAAAGGGATAGTCATCGAAGAAAAATGAGCAGAGTATAAATCGATACTCCGATATCCAAACCTATGACGCACGACTTACGTGTACGTTACAGAAAATCCGTGTGCGGCGCTAGCAATTCCGGCTCACTTAAATTATATGCAAACCGAATGGTAACTATATTATTCTGCGTCATAACGTCTGAATCGATGTACTCATAAAGTGGGGGCATTTAAAAAAAGAAACCTAGGCGACCATAAACCCCAGCTAACAGCGATCACGAAGTGCATAGTGGAGCATTACTGGTTGCATAAACAAGAAATGGGAATCGAACTAGGTGTAATAAAAATCATCACGATGGTAAAATGAAAGCAGTGATGCTCAAGACTAGAAGAATAAAACTCAGAAACATCTGTATTGGCCATAACTTGATCAGGTCAGTAACGCACCCCTTCAGCTCACTCAGTATAAGCATATGCTTGGGTCTGCATTCCTATTAATGCATTTAGTTTCTGGAACTGCGAGTAACATCGTATTTTCATAGAATAAAGGCGCTGCACCGTTCCGGGTTCCAGATATGAAGCCACAGAATCCTGAGTGAACTCGTGTTACTCCGCAAAA